CTAGTTATCACATCTTTGTTTCATTTTTCGAGGTAACAGGCTTTCATGACTTTTTGCTATATTGAAATTAAGAAAGTATCTTTTTAGATCTTTATATAGTCATAAAACTACAAACAAGTTTTTAACGAGCTACAAAACTATGTGACTTACATTTTTTCCAACCCGCAATTACACAATCTTAAAACAATAAAAGCTGAAATATTCTGATAATAATGATACTCCCTCCGTTCATCTTTAGTTGTCCACTTTGAACTTTTCATGCCACTTAAGAAATAATAAATAAAATATGTATTTTATAATTTTACCCATAACAATGAGTAGTTAATGATAAGGGTAAAACATGATAAAAATATTATCTTTCTTTTGATTTAGTATGGTGAACAAGTAAAAGTAAAAATATATTTTTAGTAACAGAGAAAAGTTAACGAAGAGAGTAATTTACATCCCAATTTTGACTAAATAAACAATTTCCTAGATAACTATGCCCTAATTTAATAGTCAAAAAAGTGGCGTTTATCTTCTTCTTTTTATTTTTTTAGTTTATTGGGTGTAATTTATGTAATATCTTGGGAGTTCTTTTATTTGAAATTCGATAGGTGGGGATAGGAGAGACTGGCCGAACTTTATTCCCTCTATATAATAGTAGGTTTTATTGTTTGCTTTCTTTTGTTTTGCCTTCGTTGGCATCCGAGTTCAATTTAAGTTGCATAATGATCATTTATGTAATAATGATGATAATTGAATGAAAGGAAAGACAAAGTGAAGAGCACTAAGAAATAATGGAAGTGGATAGGTAGTTGAATGCAATAAAAGATTCATTATATCCCAATGAGAATAGATTGGTTGATTTGATATTGCAATTTGTGGTATTTAATTTCCAACTCTTGACAACTCAAAAGGGCCAGTCTGAAGAAAGGATTAATGAGATGGACATCCCCACTCCTAATTAACTATACCTGCAATGTTTAATATAATAGATGAATTTATAATTTCAAGTTTAAAGGATGCAGAATTCACCACGCTATTTGTACATCATGCCCCTTTATAATTTTGAATTTAAGAAAATAATCTTTTTACCTCTTTTATATATATAAAAAACCAAGAGGTTGTGAGTTCGAGTCTCCCCAAGAGCAAGGTGGGAAGTTCTTGGAGGGAAGGATGCCGGGGGTCTATTTGGAAACAGCCTCTCTACCTCAGGGTAGGGGTAAGGTCTGCGTACACACTACCCTCCCCAGACCCCACTAAGTTGGATTATACTGGGTTGTTGTTGTTGTTGTTGTTGTTGTTGTATATATATAAAAAACAAATCTCTTACATGTAAAAGTAAATCTCTCATGTGTAAAAAAGAAGCTAGGGTCATAAAACTAAAAACAAGTTTGTAAAGAGCCAAAAAACTAATTGACCAGAATTCACCTCATATATGTTTATAAAAATACATTTGAATTAAGTGTACATATATATTACTTCCTTCATTTCAATTTAAAGAAAGAAAGACTTTTGAAATCTGTAATTTTGAGAATGCCATGAGATTTTGTTACTATAAAAGTATGACATTAAAGATAAAAAAGTTAAATTATTTTTCTATAACAAAAGATATTGTTCCTTTTAAAACGAGATAAAATGAAATTGAGGTATATATAATTGGAGTTAAAAGAGCATTGATACGTCACTTTGTTGGCTTCAATCTATATTTGTCCCTATGCATAAAAAGAGAGGGAGAGAGATAGAGAAAGATGGATAGCTTCAAATCCAGAACCACATGACCTTTTATGCCACAATGAATGACCAAGTTGTATGTTGCTGGCTGCAGCAGCTTCTACTTTATTGCCAAAGCTGTGTTTCTCTGCACTCGACACGATTTTGCTACCTCTACTAAATACATGTTTCGTAAACGTCTTGTCTTTTTCCTTCTTTGATACTTTCCTTTTTTATACCAGACCAAGGGTTAATTTCCTCTATAGAATTAATTAGACTATTTAGCCTAACTTATATTTATCCATACTTCCACATTCTACGCTCTTTAAGCTTCTTTTTAATTTATTAATTATGGTGACCGAGTAAGTGGCGGAAGCAGAATTTTTACTAAGATAATTTAAAAAATTAAACATGCGAAGAAGCTAAGGAGATTCAACATCTAATATATATATGAAAATAATATTAACCTTTGGGTATATAATTTTCAGTGAAGGAGGCAAGTCAACTCATGCATATCTTGACTAATTTCACGGATTAGCTATTTATGCTTAATTTCGCAAACAATTTCACATAATTATTTTTATATGAAAAAGACTAGGGCTTATATTAAACTAATAATTAAGTATTCTTCCATTCTCATAGGTATTTCTTTCCTGCATTCATTCTTTTTTCTGAATTTAGGGATGGAGTTATATGGTTTGTAAGGGTTCAACCTTGTGGAAGTATTATGCTAGGAAAAGATGTAGCAATTTTTTTTATAACTATAACTATAACTCTCTCTCTATATATACCGTAGAATTTTCTTTGCAGAAAAGAAACTTCTAAAGTAATGACAAATATAATTCGAATATATATGCTTTAGATTGCAAGTTTGAATCTCAAGTTGATTTGATCCCCTTGTTAGATTTCCTAATCTTGTCACTGCTTGAATCACTACATATGCAACTTCCTCTATTTCAAACGATGCTCTCTCCTTTGTTTAGCATAACCATGAGAGTAGAAATCACCAATTACAATAAAAGACAAATACTGAAGCAATTTTAGATATAGACAATTTACATCATTACTTCCTTAGAATATTTCAAGTGGTGCGAAAAATTAATTGATCTTCTCTAACTTGAGTAAACTAAACTTTACTTGTCCAGTTGACCTACAATATTTTACATGATAGTGAATATCTTGTGTGCATTTTGGCTAATTCATTGGTCAGCCTAAGCCGGTTTAGCCATATTTTTTTTCTACTTTTTCTAGGAATCAATGTTAGGCCATAAAAACTTCAAATTTCACTTGAAGTTGAGTATCTCAAAAAAGAATTGAAAATTTTAAAAACTCCAATTTCTAAAATTTCACTTCAAATCACTTGCAAAAATCTAAAAACATATCCGAATTGTATTCATGTCCAAACACAATTATATTTTTTAAATACCATTTTACTTAAATTTTTTTTTTTTTTACTTTTTTTCGGAATTTCACAATTTTTATGTCCAAACGCCCACTATAATCTACAATCATAAGTGTCAAGTAATCTGCCTACTAAAATTGAAATTGATGTATTAGCACTACATATTGTAGTTAGGATTCGAACCTATGATTAAGTGATTCACTGTGGAATTTGTTGTCATGTAATTTATTAAATGAGTAATTTGTATTTTGTACATACAAAAAAGAAGGAAAAGAAACTCAAAGGCACCTAGAAACGGTACAACTCCAACAAGATGGTGTTGAAACAATAACTAAAAAAATTGATGGATATGAATTCAGTCAATGCACTAAACATTGAAGTACAAGTAATCAATGCCAAGGGTACATGGTGAGCTCCAGCTTTTAGGTGTGACATAAGGTGACTTCATCCTTACGAAGCACGAAACTCTTTTTACCACTTTTGTGCGGCCTAATTTTTAATTTCATTTAACATTAACAAAAATTTCTTACATTTCTGGTCCAAAATTTACACAATTCATGCTTTTGAAGTCCTCCCACAAATTCTTGTTCTTCCCTTCTTCTTCTTCTTTTTTCTTTTTTTCACTTTCAGTCTCTGCAATATGAATATGCAAAATGATTTCAACTTTCACCAAAACAATGGAATAAAATGACGACATTGTCATATAATATGAGGAAAATTAGAAATGAAAAATTTTAAAAAAATAATTACTCCTCTTTTTCCTAAAATGAATTATAGTATACAAAATAAAAGCATCAATATCATACATAGAAATAGAATAATGCTTTAGGAGTAATTAATTAACATTTAATAAATGCTTAAAAGAATTTTTTTGTCCAATGAGTTACACGTGTACGATAATCATTGTCAAAAAGTTCGGCAACTTTTTCAATTAAAACCAGAAAATTCGACTTGTTGAGTTTTGTACATTCGGAAGAGATGCATCACAAGACATATAACTTTGTTATCAATGATATCGAATTCAAAATGGTAAATTTCTTATGATATCATCTTACTATTAATTAATTTCTCGATTGGTACATGTTATCCTTGCGCATGAATCACATTAATTTTTTTGTATCGTTCCAATTTTATCGAATATTCTGAAGGGACGACTAAAAATATAATCCAGACTTATTTGGTTTGTAACATAAGATGAAATAATTTTGGTATAAAATTTGATATTGCTTTATTCAGTACTTAGTTTGTATCTTAAATTTAAAATTGTTAATCAATGTATAATTTAGTACAATAATTGACATATTATTTATACATAATATAACATGGGATAACAATACATGGATAAAGTAATATATGGATTATTAAACATAAAAGACCAAATTACCTTTTGTTTGTTCCTGAAACCCATCATCAACATTCTATACATCCCATTAGTATTAAAGTTAAATGCCTGGGGGAAAAAATCTTTAAAACACTAATTTGCACTATTAATTCTGTATGAAAATTCTTTCATAACTTGTTATCAGACTGACAAATACAATGTCTACTTTAACTTAACGTGTGATTCTTGAATGAAATTATTTATTTTGGTGCAAACACCAAGTTTAAACACAAGGGGACACATCTACCATGTATCCTACTGGTTTTAATTTTTGTTCAAATCTATATACTATAGGTTTAAGAAATTTTATTTATAACTATTTTAATATAGAATAACTTTGAGGTAATTATAGTAAATGAGAAATTTGAATTTGTGAATTTAGAAAAATAGATAGTATTTGAAAAGAGAAGCGTCGAAGGAAAAGGTGATTGAGTCTAATTTACGCAAAATGGGTCGTCCATATTCTATTCCCTTATCTTTCAAAATTCTAAATCTCCTTTCTTCAATTATTACTATAAAGAAACCACACTTTCCCCCTAAACATACCACACCACCCTACCTACTTCTCCTGTTCTTGTGTCTCGCTTCTTTCTTTTGTCTATTAACTCATTTCACAACTTGCAAATGACAGACTTTGAATAATACTATATATATTGTTTTCAACAATTTCTTCTTCTTTTTTGTGGATGGAGAAGCTTAGTTTTGTGAAGAATGGTGTACTGAGATTGCCTCCTGGATTTAGGTTTCGTCCAACTGATGAAGAGCTTGTAGTTCAGTATTTAAAGCGTAAGGTCTTGTCTTTCCCCTTGCCAGCCTCTATCATCCCTGAGCTGGAAATTCACAAGTCTGATCCTTGGGATTTGCCAGGTCGGTTCACACTTCACACCCAAAAGAAATGTGTTCGTGTTCCAAAGCATTTGATTTTTTTTTCAAATTGGTGTTCAAAATTAATGGCATAATTAATCTAAATTAGGGTCAAGTATACCGGCTTAAGGAGTAAAATGTTCCCGAAACTGTCTCTTTTCAAAAAGAAAAATTATTGGAGTTATGATTTTGAGCAGAGGTGGATAATTGTCAGGTTATCTCAAGTTTGGACTAGTCAAACGAGTCAAAAAAATAAAATTATCATGACCCAACTTGTCCAAAGTATATTTGAATCAAAAAATGATTAATAAATCATAACTCACCCACCCAATCTGAATCAACCTCTCTTCCTTCTCTATTTTGTGTTTTGAAAAATATATTGTGAAATGATCAAGTAGTACTAGGGGAAAAAAAGAAAGTAAACTCAAAGCAAAAAAAAACTTGATCATCTTGTATAAGGAAGCTAGAGAGCAATTTCTTTACAGATAGTGAAAAGCAAAGGTAGAGCCAGAATATGAAGTTTCTGGGTTCAGGATTTTAGCCATTTTAAATTATTGAGTTCTAAATTAATAAATCAATAATTAGAACATATTAAATAAATTTCTTAAGACTAATATAGACTTTGGACCAAAAGAGTTGTGTGTTCTCTTTAATAGGTGATAAAGGAAACTGAATTTGTATTTTGAACTTGAGTTCAGGTGATTTGGAGGAAGAAAGGTACTTTTTTAGCACAAGGGAGGTGAAGTATCCAAATGGGAATAGGTCAAATAGAGCGACAAACTCAGGCTATTGGAAGGCTACTGGAATTGACAAGCAAATAGTGAGTTGTAAGGGCCAACAATTGGTTGGATTGAAGAAAACTCTTGTCTTCTACAGAGGCAAATCTCCTCATGGTTGCAGAACCAATTGGATTATGCACGAGTATCGTCTTCCTAATCTTGAAACTATTTCAATCCAAGCCAACAACAACCTTACGCAGGTGAATTTTAGTTGAAAATTTTGCTTATTTCTGGCTCCCAAGTTTTTCTCTCCAAATCTTAGAAAGTTGTTATTTGTGCCTCTTTTCTTTTACTTGAGCTTTCACCTTGTTGGTAAGGTTTCTATTCCCCACCCTGTAATAATTCTTTCCCTCGTTCCCCAAAAATAATTACTACTCCTAGATTTCTATATTTATAAATTCTTCACTTATTCTTATGATCATCGTTTTCTTGTTTACCAATAATTCGTTTTTCCTTAAACTCTTTGTCTAGATAAACACTATCATATACTCTGCGTCCCATCGTATGTGAAAATGACATTTTTTAAATATTTTGAAACAATTTAATTTTAAATTTTTTGTTCTATTCTTTTAATAACATAATTTAATAGCCATATATATATATATATATGACCAGGAGCGGATTTAGGGGCGCAAGGGTGTTCACCCGATCCCCCTTCGTCAAAAAAAAATACACTATATATGTAAGGTAAAATCTATTTTTTATCTCGATATATTATGTTTTGAATCCCCTTGACACAGCCCAAAAATATAGTTTAGTGGTCTAAGGGGTTCGGAACTCTTGGAAGGTCATTGATTCTATTTCCACTAGCTACAACTTTTCTAACTTTTTTCTTTTCTTGAATCCCCTTGGCCGTAATCCTGCCTCCGCCACCGTATATGACATATTTAGACCAAAGTTTCAAAAGTTTTTTTTTCCCCTTAAATTTTGCTTCAAATCAAACACCTCTATATTAACTTGGTGAATTAATCTGGTGCAGGAAAACTGGGTTCTCTGCCGCATATTCTTAAAGAGAAGAGATGGTAAAAATGAGGACGAGAACATCACACATCAGGTGTTTAATAGCAGAAACACAAGTGCAAAGAAGGCAGTCTTTTACGATTTTATGGCCAGGGAGAGGGAAGATTTGAATGGATCAGTTCCAGCTTCAACATCATTTTCTGGTTCCAGTGGGATCACTGAGCTGACTGCTAATGAATCTGATGATCACGAAGAAAGTAGCAGCAGCTTCAATAGTTTTACTACTTTTAGAAGAAAACAATGTCCTTAGAATAGATGGCCTTTCCTTCTTCTTCTTCTTCTTTTGTTCTTTTCTTATTTTTATCTTAATTTCAAGTGCTAAATTCGATTTTCCCGTGGCATTCCATTGGAATAAGCATCTAGATTTCGACTTTCTTCATCTCATCACTATATCGGAGCAAACGAGACCCGATAAAAATTATTAATATAATTATACAACACCCATGCCGATTCAAAACTCTTAGCCATTAGATGCGCCCACTTCTGTAGCAATATTGGAACTTAATATAAGTGCGTATTTTTAGAAAACATTTTAACTATATAAGATAAGCGAATAATGGTTGTGACTGTATCTTCGAGAAACAAAAATGGGCATTTGGCATTGGATATGATTTCCTCTAATATTCGTACAATACTTTCACATAAGTTTTCTTTGTAGCAGATTTTCAGATACAAAATCGGATTTATTATTTCGTGACTAAATTTTAACTTTAAGTAAAAACTCGTAGGAACTTGGAACGTATCATGTATTCTTCTTGCGAGTTCACACCTTCTCAAGATTGCTTTAAGGTTTTTGATTTAGGCTTGATTTTTTCTTTGTAGCAGATTTTCAGATACAAAATCGGGTTTATTATTTCGTGACTAAATTTTGGCTTTAACGTAAAAACTCGTAGAAACTTGGAACGTATCTTGTATTCTTCTTGCGAGTTCACTCCTTCTCAATGTTGCTTCAAGGTTTTTGATTCAGGCTTGATTTTTGGCTCTTTTGCTTCTTTGTCTATATGTATAGTTCTCCTCCCTCCCCCTCTCGTGTTAGAGCTTTGAAGTATGAAATCTTGAACACTAGATTGCTCCTTCTTTTTGGTCCATTCCCTGAAAAGGAAAATACACACGGGACTCGGAGATATACATTTAGATTTAGATGATAACTGCTTAACTCTTTTTTTCATCAGAAAGGTTGTACCCTAGACCGAGAATAATTCAGTATTTCGCGTGTCTTTTGGGTCTAATATCATCATTTGGTGTGGGCTAGCATTGTTAGTAAAATTTAAAAGAACAAAATAAAATTATATCTGAGTGATACGTGACCATGAGTACTTCCATTGTTTAGAAGTAATACTTCTTTAAATGAACAACATTCCAATTTGATGGTAGTATGCTGTCATTTATGGTCTCCAACTCATATGCTCCTTTTCCAGCGATGCCTCGAACCTTATAAGGGTCTTCCCAATTTGGACTTAACTTTCCCGCATTAGCCATTTTTGTTGATCGAAACACCTTTTTGAGGACGAAGTCCCCAATCTTGAAGTATCTCATATCTGCTTTCCTGTTGTAATATCGCTCAATAATCTGTTTTTGAGCCGCCATCCTTATTAGTGTTGCTTCTCTCCTTTCCTCTAATAAATCCACACGAGACTCGGAGATATACATTTAGATTTAGATGATAACTGGTCAACCCTTTTTTTTCATCAGAAAGGTTGTACCCTAGACCGAGAATAATTCAATATTTCGCGTGTCTTTTGGGTCTAATATCATCATTTGGTATGGGCTAGCATTGTTAGTAAAATTCAAAAGAACAAAATAAAATTATATCTGAGTGATACGTGACCATGGGTACTTCCTTTGTTTAGAAGTAATACTTCTTTAAATGAACAACGTTCCAAATTGATGGTAGTATGCTGTCATTCATGGTCTCCAACTCATATGCTCCTTTTCTAGCGATGCCGCGAACCTTATAAGGGTCTTCCCAATTTGGACTTAACTTTCCCGCATTAGCCATTTTTGTTGATTGAAACACCTTTTTGAGGACGAAGTCCCTGTCACACCTCCTTTTTACCTACACCCCGTAAAGGGCATAAATTCAAGGGAGTTTTTCCAATTAAAGGACAATCGAAACGGGGTTATTTCATTTAAAGATTCAGAGTCGCCACTTGGGAGGTTTATGGTGTCCCAAGTCACCTGTTAAAATCCCGAATCGAGGAAAGCTGACTCTATTTACGGTCTGCGAACACAGAAATCCGGGTAAGGAATTTTGTTAACCCAGGAGAAGGTGTTAGGCACTCCCGAGTTCCATGGTTCTAGCACGGTCGCTTTGATCATACTTGGCTTATTAAAATTGTTTAATTACTGACTTTAGATCCTATGTGCATTTACCCTTTACCGCTTTTAAATCACTTGATTACTCGTAGTTAAAGAATTGAGTTACGCGTACGTATACTCTTTTCCTTTGGCGCGTCAAAAATCATGTCACGCGAACGTGTCCATAATTAATAACACTTTATTAATATAAAAAAAGAAAGGTTTGACCAAAGTTGCGCGTGTCTAAAACAAACTATGAACATTTGTCATTTTGTATGATTAAATAGTAGACGGCTCACCTCGGACTACATGAGCTAATCTAATTAATAACCTGCAAAAACCCATTTTTATTACTAAGAAGGTTTGCTCGAAGCTGCGCGAACGCATACTCTGAATTAGTTTTTAGAATTGTAATCATGTCACGCGAACGTGTACACAATCACAATTGTATTTTAAACGGCCCTAAAGGTTTCTCTACGAATATTCAACAATTATTCCTAAAATTGAGTCGGGATTGCTAAGGCCACGAGTTACGGGCTAACTACACTGTGAAAAGCAAACGGGCTAACTCAAGGCACATGGATATGCAGCCCAGAAGTATTCCCGTGGAGAAAGGGCCTGGCAGCTCATTTGCTAGGCCCATATTCTTTTGCTTGAAATTACTCCCTTAAATTTGGTCACATGACCAGTTCGAAGATCCAGGCGAGCTGGACATAATCCCCAAGAATCAGCACAAACCATTGTCCAAAACCTGATTTCTTAAAGCCCAAAGCTATTTCTCTAATAATTCATTTGAAACGCACTCGCAAAGAATCATACCACAGGGCATGTATTAAAACTGACGATTGAATCATGAAGACTAAAAGTTAAGCTACGATCTGAATCCAGCAAACTTTAGCGGAATAAAACAAATTTCAATATAAGAACGGACAAAGACAACAAAACTACAACTTCTGAAAACAAACCTTACAATGAGCACATTAAAACAAATGCATAGTCCCTGAAAATGCAGGTAGGTCCTGGGCAAATTCTTCTTAGTAACCAAACCTATATCATGAGGAGCATGGACTGAACCACACTTTCACATTTTGGAAAGGTTAAACGAGCGCAAGAAATCAGATCCAATGAAACTAACCAGCAAATCAAACCAATGAGAGCCACAATCAGAATTTGCACCCAGAAGAATGAATCGATGCACTGCTTGCACAGTTTGAAATAGGGCAGATTTTCAGCTAAACAATTAAAGGTGAACATGATAAAGGGAAGGTCAAACTACTCTACACATTCTAACAGTTTCCCAAAGACATGAGTGACATTCATGAACAAGACATAAGCATGGCTGAGCTTAGCACTGACTTACAGCACCGTAATAGCCCAATAGTCTAACATTATTTATAACACATTAATGCAAATCCCAAGTCTGAAAAGGAAATAGACTACAAACTATATGACTAACTACTCATAATGATTAACGAGAGAAATGCGCAGAAATCACAAGAAGACCAATAGCCTCTGCTCGAAAGAACAAAACAACCATTTCAGCTTGATTTCATAGGCCTTTGGTCTAGATTTACTCAAGGTTCAAATGTCCTTACATACCTAAAAATGTGAAGAAAGCAACAACGAGATAATCAGAAAACCCAGCAGCAGTAACAAGCAGCAAAGTGGACCTCAAATCCAGTGGAACAATGTACCAAAACAGCTCAAAATTCCAGAAAATGCAATTCAGCAGACCAGATTGCAGTGTCAAACACACTTTCACACAAGCAAACACCCAACACCTAGCCTTAACGACTAAGTCTCAAGCCATCTTAGCCCTTGATTGTTCAAAGATGATTTCAGAAGTGAGAGCCTCAAGAATTACAGAAAAAAACTTTCAATGGAACAGTGACTTTTTTTTAGTTGTTCTGATTTCTCCTGTATTTCAGCCTTTTCAGTCTCTCTAAGGTGTAAAAACTGTCTTGAATGAGAAGGAGGCTTTCTTTTTTAAGGCTGAGGGTCTGTTGTGTGCCTTCCAAGACAAGGCAGTCAGATTCTTTCCAAAATACCCTCATAGGGCATCTTTCAAAACTGATTTTTGGACAGCTGTCCGTTTCCTTTAGATATTTTCAATTTACATCCTGTTTTCCTTAACCATTTTGGGTTGTTGTCTATTTAGGAAGCTTCCCATTAGTTATTAAAGATTATTTAAGTTGAAACAATCTCCAAAATCACCCCCTAAAGTTCCCCATTATTCACTTACCCCCCTTAAATTTTGAATGCTCACAATCACAATAACAATAACCAAACGGGCTGACCCTTTCAAACAAATTGAAATTCAAAACAACTATTGAAATTATGAGAAACTAGCTTGAATACCCTTCACACATAAACATGAATTCAGAAAATGTTCTTGAAACAAGAATTAATGCGAACAATGAACAATACTTGATTCAATTCCAAAATTAATTCACAAATGTGAAATGAAACCCAGTGGAAAGAAGAAAATCTCATGAATTGAAACCAAACCAAACTCAAACCTTACGAAGCCAATTGTCATCGACAACTACACAAACAAGCTAACTAACAGACTTACAACCAGAACATAATGCAATTAAGCAAGAGACGAAAATTCTGAAGGACGAAAACTAGACAAACAAACAACCAAGCAAACAAACAGATGAGATCAACAAGAAAGCAATCGACGCAAAGGAAATTCTCCCAAACCTGCTTCGGCAAGAACTACATGACCTCGAAAAAACTTGGAGGAGACAGTGAACCTTTGACGGTCATTAATCGGTTGTCCTTAACAAAAGACAAACGATTAATGACGGTATTGGTTCACTTGACCTTGCTAAGCCAGAAAGGAACCCAAGGAGAGACTTGGCTATCCGGACCTCTGCTCTACCACTGACGGACCATTTTGAGATGAAACCAACATGTATTTGAGGCAGGAAGGAGATGAGGGGTTGCATGGTGTGATTTTAGGTGGATCTAGGGATTTTAAGGTTTCAAGTGCTAACCTCAGATCTGAGATTCGAGGCGATGGAGGGGGATTTGAGAGGAACTATTTGGAGATTTGGGA